GGTGCCGGCCGCTCTGTGCCAGGCCCTGGTCCTCCGGAGCTCTGTCCTCTGTGCCGTGAGGCAACTGGCCTTCGTTCCTGCCTAGTGGCCAGTGGCCTGGTCCTGGGCTTTGGCCACTCTAGCAGGCTTGCAGGGGTTGGTGGCCCTGCAGAGTTCCTACAAGGCAGCGTGGCCTCAGGGAAGGCCTGGTCAGGAGCCCAAGGTGGCTTCTGGCCGCTGGGAGCCGCATGGCTGGGCGGGGAGGGCCCCCCCGGCCAGCAGTGTTGGGGCGCCCATGTCAGGGCTGTGCCTGGGGCTGCTCCCCACAGGCTGGGCGGGGAGGGGCGTGTTGAAAGGAGGGTGGGAGCTCACCAGCACCTGTCGGCTTCCGCTGCCCCATGGCACTTGGTTCCCTCTGGACGCCACACCCAGGCCACGGGAGGCGGCCTGCAGGGCCAGGGCTGCCGGGCGGCGGTCCTCCTCCCCATGGCCAGAGAGCCGTGCGGCAGAAGGCCACAGCCAGGGCCCGGCCCTCTCCCTCACGCCCAGCCCGGCAGTGGCGCGGGACGCTCAGAGCAGCCAGTGTGGGCCCCGGAGACTGGTCCAGGCGGGCTGGGGCAGGAACCCGTGTTTCTGGCCCTGCGGGCGTCCAGGGCCGGCAGGACCATCTACCTGCAGGTGCCCCGGGTGGTCAGAGGGGGCAGGTGCAGCGTCCTGCGCCTGCCAGGTGCTTGCCCTCAGCAGGCGGAGGGACGCCCAGGGCTGTGCTCCGGGGCCGCGGGCGGGGCTCGTCCTCCCCTCCGGGCAGAGCGGTGGGCTGGGGTGCGGGCGCCTGGGTGCCCGCAGAGGTCAGCCCTGGGGAGCAGTGCTGGTGGAGAAGCCGCCCTCACCCGCCGACGCTGGGCGCCGCCCTGCAGGGAGAGGCTGCACCTTTGCCCCAGCGCCATGTTTGCAGACGCGCCTGGCCAAGCCTGGCCCGGGCCAGTGGGGGGGGCTTATGGTGCTGGGTCAGGCCCTGCCTGCAGCCCTCCCAGGTGGACCCTGGCCCCTCTTGCTGGGTAGCGCCTGCTGGGCTGGACAATACCTGTGAGCGGAGCTGGCCGGAGGGCGGGAGGGCCGGAGGGCAGGAGGGCAGGAGGGGCTGGCTGTCCGTCCCAGAGTCTGCTCCTGCCCCGAGCTCTGTGTGTGCGAGGCTCCCCACAGGCCAGCGCGAGGCCCCTCTGTGCCATGGGGATGCCGTCTGCAGCTGCCTGCTGCTCCCGGCCGTGGGCCTCTGTGGCCCCTGTGGCCCCGCGGCGCTGCCCACGGCCAGTGTGCAGCCCCAGGGACCTCGGGGTGCTTGGTGCCTCGGCTGGGCGGGGCTGGGTGGCCTGGGAGCCCCACACAGGGGCTCGTGGGAGGGGGAGCAGACACCAGCAGGGGCTGGGGGGCCAGGGCGGGGACATGGGGTGTGGGGGCTGTGCCCCCCGCCCTGCCCCCGCCGTGCAGGACACGCTGTCCCCGAGGCGCGGCCAAGCCCCGGTGGACGGCGCCCCCCTGTTTTAATGGGCCAGCCAGACGCAAAGCCCGTCCTTGGCGACCTTCCTGCCCTGATGGCTCTTGAGGACACTTGCAGAGCCGGCAGTTTCGCTCAGCCGGCGATGCCATGGTGACGCTGTTCACCCCATCTCGTTCCAGAAAAGCTTTCAGGCCGCTGAAGGTCGAGCCTGCCTGCGCGGGGAGGGGCGCGGCCTGG